CTAATCAGCCCAACCAAATCAGAGATAGGACATATAAGTAAGGTGATCCTCGACAGAATCGTCGGTAAAGTGATAAGCGCGACAGGATTCAACCTGTGGAAAAGCACGGACGCCGTACTGGACTGGTATAAGAAAATCCCAAACAAGCAAGAATCGAGCTTCATAAATTTCGACATTGTGGAGTTCTATCCCTCGATAACGGAAAAGCTTCTCCTGAAGGCCCTAGGGTTCGCGGAAAACTACGAGAACATTAGCAGCAAGGAGAAAGATATCATCATCCACGCAAAACAGACAGTGGTATTCAACGACCAGGTACCGTGGAAAAAGCGTAATGCAGACAGCAAATTCGATGTCACGATGGGCAGTTTCGACGGCGCGGAGTCATGCGAGCTGGTCGTAGCATATCTGCTGTCGATCTTGAAACCAAAGTACGGAAATAGAGTGGGACTATACAGGGACGACGGTCTGGCAGTATTCAAGGAGACCCCCAAGAAAATAGAAAACATCAAGAAGGAAATATGCCAAGTATTCCGGGAAAATGACTTAAAGGTAACGATCGAAGCCAACAAGGCAACAGTAAACTTCCTTGACATCACATTAGACCTGCGAACGGGAGGGTTCAAGCCATACATGAAACCAGGTAATGTACCTCTCTATGTACATGTCCAGTCAAACCATCCACCCGCCGTCATCAAACAGATACCAGAGGGAATCAACAAGCGACTCTCCAACATCTCGTCGAGCAAGGAGGCATTCGAGAAAGCTGCCCCGGCCTACCAGGAGGCTCTGCAAAAAAGCGGGCACAAGTATCGACTGACGTACACACCGGGCAATAACACCAGGAAAAGGACTAGAAAAAGGGAGGTGACATGGTACAACCCGCCATACAACAAGAACGTACGTACCAACATTGGAAAGAAATTCCTTCAGATAATAGACAAATACTTCCCCAAGGAACATAAGCTTCACAAAGTGCTCAACCGGAACACAGTAAAGTTATCGTACAGCTGCATGCCGAACATGAAGGCAACGATCCAGTCAATCAACAAACGGAAGGTAAAACAGGAGGACGACGTCGGTGGTAGAACATGCAGTTGTCCCCGCAATGCCGAATGCCCGCTGAACGGGGAGTGCCTCAGCAAGAACATAGTGTACCAGGCCACCGTCACGAGCGAAGGCAGGAAGGAGGCATACGTCGGGCTGACGTCCACAACCTTCAAGGCGAGACTGGCGAACCACAAGCAGTCATTCAGATCCGAGAGCAAGAGGGCGCAAACAGAGCTAAGTAAACATATATGGGACTTAAAGGACGAGGGGAAAGACTATGAAATCAAATGGGACATAGTTCTGAAAGCACTGCCATACTCTAACGTAAACAAGAGATGCAATTTATGTATAGCAGAGAAGTACATAATCATATGTAGGCCAGATCTAGGTACACTGAATAAGAGAAGCGAAATCGTCTCCAAGTGCAGGCATCGAGACAGATGTGTTCTTACTTCAGTGACGTAAACGCGTACTAACTTCAATGACGTAACGCGCGTAACGCGTGCGCGCGCTTGATTCGAAATAAGGTAAGATGCTACTTGTATTCTATTTTTCGTCATTCTGCTGATGAGTGCCTTATGGTACGAAACAGTCTGTTCAGAAAGAGAATATTCTGAATTTATTGCATGTTTATAGCTCTACAGAGATGTATCGAGCACTGTGAATTGTGATAGAAGACGATTTCATTGGATATACTAGCTCCTATTTTTATAGTTGAGCACTCTCCTGACGTCGCACTTCAAAATGGAAAGAGTGAACTTTGAATATTCGACGAAGAATATTCCGGTAGCATCGAGAACAACATACCTCAAGCGCCTGATCGAGAAAACGGAAATGTTCATCAAAAGGATTAGATGGAGATCATTCTTCTTTCTGAATCCGGAGCTGAACAAAGACAAGGCGGAGAAGGAGGAAACGTACGGATTTAACTCGCGGAAAACACCACCAGTCATTCCGGAACTGAGAGAATTCGAAGACAATTTGGTGAGTCTGATTCAAAACGTCGAATTTGAGAAGACCACTAGCCAGTTCCAACGCAAATTAAACGAAGACGTAAATACGATTAGGAATGATGATAAGCTTACCGTCAAGGCTGATAAGACTACAAATTATTACAAGATGGAAAAAGATGACTATGTAAATCTTGTCAGGGCGAATGTCACCAAAACATACAAGAAAACCGAGCAAAAGGAAGTAGCGGAAATCAATCGCGAAGCGAAAAGAATTGCTAAAAGTCTTGGACTGGGCGACCGCATAGATAAATTGGCCGAGAGGGAAGTCTTCATTACTTTGAAGGACCACAAGGACAACTTCGATAACAAACCATCATGTCGACTAATCAGCCCAACCAAATCAGAGATAGGACATATAAGTAAGGTGATCCTCGACAGAATCGTCGGTAAAGTCATAAGCGCGACAGGATTCAACCTGTGGAAAAGCACGGACGCCGTACTGGACTGGTATAAGAAAATCCCAAACAAGCAAGAATCGAGCTTCATAAATTTCGACATTGTGGAGTTCTATCCCTCGATAACGGAAAAGCTTCTCCTGAAGGCCCTAGGGTTCGCGGAAAACTACGAGAACATTAGCAGCAAGGAGAAAGATATCATCATCCACGCAAAACAGACAGTGGTATTCAACGACCAGGTACCGTGGAAAAAGCGTAATGCAGACAGCAAATTCGATGTCACGATGGGCAGTTTCGACGGCGCGGAGTCATGCGAGCTGGTCGTAGCATATCTGCTGTCGATCTTGAAACCAAAGTACGGAAATAGAGTGGGACTATACAGGGACGACGGTCTGGCAGTATTCAAGGAGACCCCCAAGAAAATAGAAAACATCAAGAAGGAAATATGCCAAGTATTCCGGGAAAATGACTTAAAGGTAACGATCGAAGCCAACAAGGCAACAGTAAACTTCCTTGACATCACATTAGACCTGCGAACGGGAGGGTTCAAGCCATACATGAAACCAGGTAATGTACCTCTCTATGTACATGTCCAGTCAAACCATCCACCCGCCGTCATCAAACAGATACCAGAGGGAATCAACAAGCGACTCTCCAACATCTCGTCGAGCAAGGAGGCATTCGAGAAAGCTGCCCCGGCCTACCAGGAGGCTCTGCAAAAAAGCGGGCACAAGTATCGACTGACGTACACACCGGGCAATAACACCAGGAAAAGGACTAGAAAAAGGGAGGTGACATGGTACAACCCGCCATACAACAAGAACGTACGTACCAACATTGGAAAGAAATTCCTTCAGATAATAGACAAATACTTCCCCAAGGAACATAAGCTTCACAAAGTGCTCAACCGGAACACAGTAAAGTTATCGTACAGCTGCATGCCGAACATGAAGGCAACGATCCAGTCAATCAACAAACGGAAGGTAAAACAGGAGGACGACGTCGGTGGTAGAACATGCAGTTGTCCCCGCAATGCCGAATGCCCGCTGAACGGGGAGTGCCTCAGCAAGAACATAGTGTACCAGGCCACCGTCACGAGCGAAGGCAGGAAGGAGGCATACGTCGGGCTGACGTCCACAACCTTCAAGGCGAGACTGGCGAACCACAAGCAGTCATTCAGATCCGAGAGCAAGAGGGCGCAAACAGAGCTAAGTAAACATATATGGGACTTAAAGGACGAGGGGAAAGACTATGAAATCAAATGGGACATAGTTCTGAAAGCACTGCCATACTCTAACGTAAACAAGAGATGCAATTTATGTATAGCAGAGAAGTACATAATCATATGTAGGCCAGATCTAGGTACACTGAATAAGAGAAGCGAAATCGTCTCCAAGTGCAGGCATCGAGACAGATGTGTTCTTACTTCAGTGACGTAAACGCGTACTAACTTCAATGACGTAACGCGCGTAACGCGTGCGCGCGCTTGATTCGAAATAAGGTAAGATGCTACTTGTATTCTATTTTTCGTCATTCTGCTGATGAGTGCCTTATGGTACGAAACAGTCTGTTCAGAAAGAGAATATTCTGAATTTATTGCATGTTTATAGCTCTACAGAGATGTATCGAGCACTGTGAATTGTGATAGAAGACGATTTCATTGGATATATATATATATATATATATATATATATATCCAATGAAATCGTCTTCTATCACAATTCACAGTGCTCGATACATCTCTGTAGAGCTATAAACATGCAATAAATTCAGAATATTCTCTTTCTGAACAGACTGTTTCGTACCATAAGGCACTCATCAGCAGAATGACGAAAAATAGAATACAAGTAGCATCTTACCTTATTTCGAATCAAGCGCGCGCACGCGTTACGCGCGTTACGTCATTGAAGTTAGTACGCGTTTACGTCACTGAAGTAAGAACACATCTGTCTCGATGCCTGCACTTGGAGACGATTTCGCTTCTCTTATTCAGTGTACCTAGATCTGGCCTACATATGATTATGTACTTCTCTGCTATACACAAATTGCATCTCTTGTTTACGTTAGAGTATGGCAGTGCTTTCAGAACTATGTCCCATTTGATTTCATAGTCTTTCCCTTCGTCCTTTAAGTCCCATATATGTTTACTTAGCTCTGTTTGCGCCCTCTTGCTCTCGGATCTGAATGACTGCTTGTGGTCAGAAAGAGAATATTCTGAATTTATTGCATGTATATATATATATATATATATATATATATATATATATATATATATATATATATATATATATATATATATATATATATATATATATATATATATATATATATATATATATATATATATATATATATATATATATATCTCGTGCAATTTTCTCCCTGAACTGTATGAAAATTATCAGATAACTTTCTTGGCTTCAATAAGTCGCAGTATGTTAATTGTAAGGGTTAATTCTTGACGCCGAGGGCGCTGTTCAGACTATAATTTTTTAAGCTAATATCTATTAATTTTATGGACTCACATAACAAAATTTGAAACAAGCTTCAAAATATTTCACTGTGACGTTCTTATTTATTGAACAAAGTTAGAAAAACACAGCTCATCATAGTATTCAAAGTACATGACAATTTTGTTCTTGAATGAGGTTAAATTATACGTGACACTACATATTATATAAATAAGCATGCATTAATGCACTCGGGGCAGCGTCTAGTGCCGTCGATTCTTAATGAATACGCGAAAATGTTAAAGACTACACTGCAAAAAACAGAACTTGCGTCAAGAATAGCAGAGAGTTTGAACAGAAATCATAATCCATTCTCTTTGATGTCGGTAGAAGATTTCAAATGATATTTTTGAATGGCGCATGTTTCCTGTCATTGTTATTCAAATGTTCATTTCATCAAATTTGTTTTGAAAGGTAGGATTTAATTCTGATGCATATAAGAGGGTTTCAAAGTTTTGTATGGTGGGAATGACCCCCCCCCTCAAAAAAAAATTAAATAAAAGCTGAGGGCTATGCATACTAGGCCTAAGCAACATCAAAATGGTGTTGTTCTCGAGAAATCATAAGAAAGATTGTGTAAGTACACTTGGAAAACAAGGACAGGTGGGTCTGACGCCATTGTCAAAAAAAAAAAAAACCACTTGCAGGTGTAAATATTGTTTTCGTGATTATGAAATCCAGTATACGGCCCAGAAAGTCATCCAGTGACTTCGTAGTCTTTTGTTAAATGCAGATGTACTCCTAGTATACCAAAAGGGGGAATAAGTTGTCTGAATGATATTGTTGTTATTTAGTTATTTACCTCCTGGTTACCCTTCTACCAATCACAACTGCTATCACCCCCACCAAAACTATAGACCCAACAGCAGCCCCAGAGATAGCGATTCGTTTCTTGTAGGAGTCACTCAATCCTTCCTCTTCCCCTGGTTTCTCTCCGGCTGGGTCGGTAGGCTCTGGGGAAGCTGGTGTGGGCGTCGTGCCGGATGACGAGACCTGCTTAGCCTTATCAAAGAGAGGACCGACGGGCAGGTTGGGCTTCTGAAAGCTAGAGGCGTCCTGGTCGGTTTCGATGGGGCTGCCATCAGGCAAGTCCTGGTCGGTTTCGATGGGGCTGCCATCAGTTTCTGGGCCATCTTCCTCACCCGTAATGCTTACGCTATTGGAGAGATAACTTTCTTCGACATCAGCGTCTGATGATGGGGATGATATTAGCGGTCCAACAGAGTCCTCCGCATCAGCCTCCTCGGTGCTTTCTGCATCACCGGTTCCTTGCTGTCCGATCACGGTACCCTGCTCACCGCTCTCTGTGGTGCCACCCGCTGCCTGTTCGCCTGCCATCGATCCACCTTCTGTTTCCTCGCCACTTTCCCCAGCATCACCGCCCATCTGAGCACCTCCTACTTGATTCACCTGTTGCCCGCCATTTACATTGAAGAAGGGTGAATTTGGATTGTTATTATTTCCAGAACCAACAACTGGTGTTCCAGGCGGCAGCCCAGGGCCCTCACCTCCGGTCTCCTCACCTTCTCCGGCCTCTCCAGCGGCCTCTGCGGCATCCTCCGCAGCCTCGGCGGCAGCCTCCGCAGCATCTTCGGCTGCCTCTGCAGCTGCTTCGGCTGCCTCCGCGGCTGCTTCGGCTGCATCCTCGGCCGCCTCCGACTGCTCTGCGGTCTGCTCTGCAGCTTCCTGCGCAGCCTCAGCAGCATCTTCGGCTGCTTCCGAGTCTGCCTCCGCTTGCTCTGCGGCCTGTTCCGCAGCCTCCTGCTCAGCCTCCTCATCAGCTTCCGCCTGCTCGGCTGCAGCCTCTTGGGCCAAACCACCTCCCTCGTTACTCTCCACATCACCATCGCCTCCTCCTCCTGCACCCTGTGCGGCAGGTTTCCGTTGTTGCTTAGGTCTCAGTATCTGAGGCAGGCCTGGCCGGACAGCATCACCCTCGGCCTCCTCCTGGCTCTCCTGATCCTGACCATGTACAAGACCTGACAACAAAAAGCGGGGAATCATTACGTAGAGCTTTGTATACTAAACATAAAATCTAACCGGTAATCTGCAGCCTGCATTTTCTTAACTCATCGAGACCATCGAGGTCATTCACGGTCATAAGCCTGGTGCTGATATTTCCTGACTTTCAAATAGCCCCCAACCAAAAAAAAAAAGGCAACAACAACCCAAAACACGCCACGCGCGTCGAGACATAAGAGGGCATTTTCTCTTTTACATGGGTGAATAGACAATAAAATAGTGACATATAAGCTCATATTGTCATAAATATATCTGACTTGCTATTGAAACGTTGTATTGATTCGATGAAGAGATATAGGTTTGGCTCGCATAGGCCTATTATAATCACTGCAGGTATAGCACCCATGTTGTGCCAAATTTTCGGGACACCATTTTCCGGAGATTTATTTACGACTGTTGCATGCCTCATTTCCGCAGTTCAAGGTTCAGAATGTTTGGAAACCCCCCAAAAACTGGACAGAAAAAAAAACATTTTTGAATGTAGCTTTTTTCTACAAGTGAAGATTCTCAAAATATGTTACTGAAAGGCTTAATGAGAGAGTATTAGTGGCTGTTGTTGAAAGACTCGAACTTGCTCATAATAGTTATTTTTAGCTGCGGATTAGCAGCTCAACAAATCGTGTCTCTCCGTTTTAACAAACGTTTACATTGTCTATTGCTCATACATGTTGTGACCGATTTCAACCAAACTTTGTCAAAAAGTATCAGAAGCACAGCCCCTACATGTCACATGACCAAACTTGGGTCAAAGATCATCATTAGATCAATGGGGTCGAAAAGCTGATTGCTTTTACTCAAAACATTACTCCTTCCAGAAATTACATGGCCCGCAGCTTTCGAGCTTGTTCCAACACGTTGTTACATTTTTGTCTCCAAATGTTACAGCCGATTGGTACATTACTCGACATCCACGACGCTTTCATGCATTTATATGAAAGACTAATTGCAACAAAAGACGAATATTGAACTGCAGTACGGTTGAGTCCGGCCAAACGTCATCAAAACTCGAATTTCCAAAAGCGCTGCCAACGGCCAAAATGCCGAAAGTTTCTCGGACAATCAGAGCAAATCATCATAATTTTATTTTAGCCATGTTACGAGTACCGATAATTAAACTCTCTAGAATTCCTACAGTTAACAAATACTTAAGGATTCAATATTAAATTGCAGCGTTGTTTACAATTTCAATTCATCGTGTTAGTGGCTCTTTCACACACGAAGTGCATCCATATCCATGTATTTGGTCCGCGGACTTTCGTGAAAGTTTTTAGTGAAAGGGAATCTTAATGGGACTCACCTCCTACAAGAAGGAAGACAAGGATGAGCCACGTTATCTGATGTGTAGACGCCATTTTAGCAACACCGATCCTAGCGTTCACCGAATCCGGAAGAAAATCTGAAGAATCCAAATGAGCATATGAACCTGCAGTGGTTTATAGTCTGTGAGGGACTTAGAAGACGTACGATGTGCAAAAAAAGCCAGCTGACCGAGGCGATGACTCAAGCTTTATGTTAGCTCCCATTCACGTGAGCACTGCTAATCGTGCGGAAGGAGAGTGTTTGCGATGTCGAAACAGTTTGGGTATACGCGGGCGGGGAGGAGATGGAAGTGGGGGGGGGGTACTCTTTTCGTGCTTTATAGGCGAGGATTAACACACGGAAGTGAGCATCGTGGAAGGATTTGATTTAGGATATTCTTGGCTTCCATCCAACGCCAATCTTTCGTAAAAGTCCCCACACAAAAATTATCAATCATTGAAAGCCCCAACTAACAAATTCTCTACGTTCCCTTGTGTATTAAGTGAAATATTTTTGTTAGCAAATGTTACGGGTCAGTACAACCTTTCGAAAGTTCTAGTTTATCCAGCTTTGCAATATTGGATGATTATATTCATTATAGTTACACCATGAGCTGTCTGGTGAGACATCACCTGTTTTCAATTATTTGTTTTTCTGCCGTGTTCTGGATTTCAAGCACTTTTTGGGGGGTGGGGTGGGGGAGGGGGGGGGGAGATTCAATACGAGATTTTCAAACCCCTTCCTCATGACCGCAGAGTCTCTAAAAAAAAAACCCAAAACAAACAAAATGAAGTCTTGCATGAAATGGAAGGGGCGCCGGCGATTTATTTTCTCCCAAACGACATCCACATATGGGTGTACGCTATGGCGTTTTGGACTTAACTTTTATAAAAACATGAGAAGAAAATAAAAAAAATTAAGTACAAGTATTCGCGCTGCGAATTCGTAAAAGTTGAACATATTTCAACTCGGGCGAATTTCGCAGCGAATGTTTCATGACGTCCAATTCGCTTTGTATTCGCATGAAGTATGAACCGGGCTTCAGGTTAGAAAAGGAAAGAAAAATACGGGTGCAAAACCGAGATTTGTACCCGCAACCTCGCGGTGCAAAATCCTACCTTCTATCGACTGAGCTGTCGCACTGCTCGCCAAATTGTGTGGAAACAAATAATTATATACCTGCGTGCGTATCATAAAAGTATCGTAGAGGGCGCTAAACACCCATGTATGCGGATGTCGTTTGGGAGATAAATCGCGGGCCGCCGTCCCACGCGAAAATCACGCCCTGAAAATTGACCAAAATAAGCCCTCAAGTTTCCCATAAAAACAGCGCGCTATATACCACGTGACTATATCATTACTGCACATTATCTTGCCTCCATTTACAAAATTTTACTTTACGAATTGTTACAAACAATATTTTTTTAAGTTTTTCATTTCTTTTTTTTGTTGTTGCTTGTTTCTTTTAAATTAAAATTTGGTAATTATATTTTGTGGTAAACTTGGGGGGACTCGTTATTGGTAAATTTCCCGGGGACAGACATAAAATACGCGCATGCGCATCGATCGAGACAAAGCCCGTTTTCCGATAACTTTCGTCAAGAGTGCATTTACGGACGACGGCATGGCATTTGGTCGATTTTTTGTCAAATATTCTTGGTCAATTTTCAGGGACAGAAAGACCGACAAACCGATCAACCGACCGACCGTCCACCAAGCGACATGTTGAAGCTCCTACCATGGCTTAAAAACCACAATAGTGACAAACTGTTTCCCTGTGCTATGTTTGGGTTTCAACTCGGGTTTCAAAAAAAAATTCTCAATTGTTATTTTCCTAGCAATATAAAGTTATTCGCTTTGAATGAGACATCGACATCGAACAAACTAAAAATCTACCGACGTTTAGTTATTGAATTATTTCTTCACAAAATTTGATTTATTGGGTGCCAGACAATGAAAAAACTACGAAAAAAGAACGTTTTTTTTTCATTGAAATAAAACATACAGATTGAAAATTCTCCTCAGAAGAAGTCTTTGCTAAAGACGAAATATATCAGGCCTCTCTAACTTTTTGATTTGTATATTTCAGGTCAACCCAGTCAGTGAGCAGTTTGCAGCAGTTTTATTATTTTCAAATTGAAAATTCGTTGGAAGAAAACAAATCAGTAGTGAATCTAGGATGGGGTGGAGGGGTAGGATGGGGGGATTTCCAACACCCCTCCGTTTAGCCGCTGACTAGTATAATGATACTAGTCAAATGGGGCCAAAAATAATATATTGGATGCTAAAATTCCTAAATTTATTCTCAAATTGCTTTAGAATACATGATGCCCCTGGCAAGGCGTGCCTTCACTCACCCACTTCATGTCACCCCCCCCCCCGGATCCGCCCCTGAAAAGCCTTTTTTGAAGGGCACATGGTATGTGCCTCCGATATCGATATTAAAAAGAGAAAAAGCCAGCCTGATTCAAGACAAAGTTTGGTTCAGTCATCATATTGAGCCTTCTTTGAATGGCATGCATCACATTGTTCAACATGGGTGGCGATGATTTCTTCTGTGAACTATCACTGCGTCATCAGTCGACCTCTGACCTTTCAGAGCGCGTAACCATGGGCCAAACAGGAAACAAATTGCGACAAAGACGCACATGATGACTTCCAATCTTTCCAGACCGTCTGAGGATTCCCAGCGGTTTTGCGTCTGGGACATTGTTTTTTTGGTTTCATCCTCTGAAACTTTTCAACATGACCCCTGTCAAGGAAGGCACAATTAGGGTCTAGTGACGTGAGTGGACAGGGGCCAATGAGTCAACTTCCTCATTTAGATAAACATGTGTGCCTCTGAGGAGGCTTCAGAACAATCTACAAAGACATTTTTTGCAGGAATATGAAAAAGAACAAAGCAATGCGCGCCTCTAATACAACAAGAGCGTTCCTGGTATTCCAACATATCGTTCCAATAATTGTGAAATTTGAGGGAAGAGATGAAGGAAGTCATCAGCAATTCAGAAAAGATCAGAAGACAAGGAAATCAACAAAATTACTGTACATGACATGACGATACATTTTCAGCAAGAAAAACCTTATTTTAAAGTTTCTGTTTTATTATTTGGCCCACGAAAATCAAAGAATCATGACTTAATTTTAGAAAAACAAAACACTAGATGTGCATCGTATATGGCCTCATTTTCTGACATGGTTTTTAGCGGGCCATATTTCATTCTTTATGGGAAAACGCCTGGATATATGGGAAAGCTATTTTTTACAAAGAGTTTTATGGAATTTTACAAATTGCAAGTCGCGAGGATGCTAAAAAAATGACTTTGTTATTGCCGAACTGCAATTTGGGTCTGGTTTCCCGACTTCTACAGTGCGTTCAGCTGATTCCGACATACAGGAAACCGTTACCAGTGTACAATATTCCTACTTCATTTCTGTGTTGTCTTGATGTCAAATCGATAAAGGTTTCTTTAGTCAAAGAAACCGTAAAGTTTTAATAATTCGGCATAAAGTGATGAATTTAAAACTTTGATCTACCTCATTTACTATAAACCTGTAAACAAGGAGCAGTTCACAGATATCAAGTACAGTTTAGGGGAAAATGGATTTTATAAAAAGAATCGATCACGCTAGACAAATAATTATGGCATCTACATGCATAAACAATTGGATGACAGTGATGACGAAACCTTAGACGATCAAAGGGAGTATATGGACAATGCTACAAGAATTACTATACACGATTAAAAAGTGCCACCAAAAGGAAGACCTATAATGTTTATTGTAGTACTCTATTGTCCTGCTCCTGTACTTGGTTTCATGGATCGGGGTTCTTCCGGAAGAACTTCTTGCCGATTTTCGTCAGCCCAACCAGCATGAAACTGAGCAAAGCACCCACACCGATAGCTGTCACAAACATGACAACCGCCATGATGCCACTACCCGGTTTACCACTCATGTCATCTGATTCATTTTCATCTTTGACCTCTTTGTCCACTATGTCATTGACATGACCTTTGTGACCCCCAACCTCGTTCCCGTGCTCGGAGGAGACGATGTTCAAGTCGTTGCTGGTGTTGGATGGAGCGTGATGTAGCACGCCGTTAGGGATGACGTTGCTGTTATCTCCTGGGGAGGATGTTGAAGTGACTGACGTCACAGTGGGTTGGATCCCGTTAACTTCATTACCGTCTAATTCCACGCCTTCTCCCTGGGATTCAAACTCCTCCCCTACGCCCTGACCGACCTGGTTCTCCTCTCGATCCAGTTCGTAGAGGTCGCTCTCGGCCATCGTCGGGTCCTCCGGAATCGATTCCTCCGTGTCGGATTCCGACTCGGCAAACACGATGTCGGAATCGCCGGTACCGGCGTCGCTCTCGTGATGCACATTGTAGATGGAGCTACTCAAGGCTTCCTCCACCGAGGGTTCCATGCTGCTCATCTGTACATAGATGGGATTGGTACCGGAACTTGAGGAGAACTCAGATACTTCAGAGTAACCACTACCTTCTTGGTCTGCGAAGTAGGCTAAAGTATCAGTGGTAATCGTCACTTTCTCTGACTTCAGAGCTGTGAAGGCCCCAGACCCTTCCCGCAAAGGCCCGGCCAAACACCCCTGCACCCACACTGCAACAAGAAATACATAAATAATGCTATGAATTTGAACAAAATATTGCACAATTATTATTTGCACAGTAGAATCAATCAATGGGTATTTGTAAAGCGCACAGGACTGGTGCTCAAGGCACTACATTATTATTACCCCTGCTCATTGGGCCCATGAAACATTCCAAATACCACCGATCACCGTCAGATACGTGTGTACAAAATCTGATGTTCTACTGTTTTACCATGCTGCGAAATTACTTGACTGCAAACCCCAGAAATGCACATAGATGCATTTTATATACTAGAAGAATTATCATTTCTATTCTGATTTATTCATTTGTTAAATGTTATTTATGTGTACCACTGCTTCAGCATGTTATTTTGATGGGTGATCCCAGTGTTTTTGGCGGTAGGATGGCCATAGAGGTGCTGGTTAGTGATTCCGTATCTTATTTAATGCATTTATTTGTTTTATTTGCAATATTTATGTTTATATATAATTAGGTTATGAGATATTGTAAATTGTGATACAATATAAAACAAACAAATGTCTCCGTCTCGGGTTCAAGTTTTGAAATGAGATAGAAAAGGAATGAGATTTCGATTTTAGACGCGGTAGAGAAAAACATGAAAAAAAAACTATTCTGAATCGCAACCATTCAATATCGAATTCTTTAACATTAGACGGAGACGTTACTTTTGAAATTAGAATGTACATGTCTGGTTAGATTTCTTCATTCCGTGACCATTTTCCCTCGCATCCAGCAGTTCCGTGATAACATCATAGGCCTAAGTGACCAGCTGAAGATTTTGTAATGCTTTAATTGGTGACCAGGAAAGGCCAATTACTTATCTTGTTGGTCACATTTCGAAGTAATCAATTCGAAGGGGTCAGCTTTTTAAATGAGAATTTCTATCAATAGTTTCACTGAGTATTAAACAAAGATCCTACAGTATTGAACAGAAACGGTGGCGAGGTAGCACTTCTGCAGTCTAATTAGGAATGTAAATTGGAAGTATAGCGCCATCAACGATGAATCTTTGACAGTGGATATGGGCGTGACACTGTCCAACAAAATGGCGGACCCCGTATCCAATTAAACATTAAATAGAAACTTCCAGTCAGTGTTTTTCGAGTTTTTTTCATGTAAAGTTACACTGCATTCAAAAAATCACATAAATGATGCATACATTTTGTTTACACTGTAGATAACGCTCGTCTTAATTCCCCAAAAAATAACCGTTGAACAATTAATAATTAAAGATCAGTGTTGCATGATTAACTCAAACAATACTGCTGCAATTCCACAGAACCCATGACGTCAGTATAATACGTTAAAAAGTGCCATTATTCCCCCCTTTCCCCATTTTTGTGTGACTATTTCGATTTCCTACCACCCTTCCGGTCTTAGGCTAAACCTTACATTAAAATGATTCATTCCCACGTGTTGACTTTTGAGACTATTCCTCCCGCGCGCGCCAGAAATCAAATTTATTTGACATACCAAAATGACGGCATCATGGCGGTGTCTGTACATGCAACAAACGAAAACGGCACAGAAGCAAGCTAGTGCTGAAATGTCCAGACTTACCCATCATGACGCTCAGAAAGACGGTCCGCCTGTTGCACGACATGTCTGCTCAACTTCGTCTTTTTTTTTTCACGAGGCCTCAGATTTCGATATAAAAGAAGAAACAGTCAGTCTGATTCAAGACATCTGTCTACTCGCGTCGCCCGACCTTAAAAAAGATGAGTCTTCCGGACAATGGTAGGGAACACCTCGGGCGGGTTAGAGCGTAACACACGGCCTAATCAGATTAAAGCGACCAGCTCATTAATAAGTGAAATTATCGGGAAGGGGGGAAAAATAGAACTGCATGGATGCTGCCTGTTTGCAGGCAGTTCGGGCCAACCCAACTGGGAATCTACATCCGTTTGTCGAACTGCTGCACAGATAATGGAGAGGGGCCCGTGTTTTTCTGGCGAGGTCGAGGAAATCCAGTTTTGCGAGGAGAAAGTTTTGTCAAAGTTTAAAGGCCAAAGGCTGAGCCGTTGCTTCCTTCGGTGTACACGCAGGTCAGGTCAGGTCCACTTTGTGAAATTTACGCAATCAGTTGGATATGCCATATGACTGGATATATCAAATTCTGACATTTGGCCATGTCCGCTCGAGTATGTCATATCAATTAACAGTGGTATTTATTTTAATTTTGACGTGCAGATGTCGGATGATGTAATTCATTTTTTTCTCATGCGCAATGCGTACACTCATGTCAGCAGTATTCTTCTCACGTGTTCTGAGTTTCACTGTGCTCAACTATCAGTTAAATAGCCAATCATTTCCTTTCTTAAGAAACTGCCTCATTTCTCTAAGTTAAAAGCACAGAGGATCATTTGCATTTATTCTGAAAGTAACCTACCGAATTAATATCCAAAAGCTTACCTGGATTAAGAATCGTACTGTACTAAACGCCCCGTGAAATTATTCCGTCTGGCTTGCTGTCATTTAGAAGAAATCAAGAAATGTAGGTGATTTCCAACGATCAGTCAATTTACTAATTTTTGGAAATGGAGACGAGATCATATTTCGTGATCAATCGGTTGTGCATGGTTTTTCACTGTTTTCTCAAAAAGTGTAATATTCATTGAGCTGAAACTTCAACCGGTTAGGTTTGGAACATTCTTCTTTGGATGTTGAGTGGTGTTATTATTGGAAATGAACAAAATACATGAAGAGCAAATGATCCTATAGGCCTTTAACTTAAAAGCGTGGAAATTGTCGCCTGCCACATTTTAAAAACCTGAAAATAGCCAAAGCTTTTCCAGGAAAATGGGGGAAGGGGTGGGGGGGGGGGAGGTTGTGGGGGGTGCTGGCGGGGGATTACAATAAATTGCGCTACTTTTATTGTAGCAAGATTCAAAATAAACTGATCAGCTATAATAATTGTATCATATTCCAAACTAAATATTTGACACACCTCCCATCACAGCAATCCCCAGCGGTTTACAGTCTACTCGACCGTTCGCCATCATGATTCGAACCACTCTCGATCGTTTGCCGACTCGACCTTTGTCCCAACTCGTCCGTTAACCAACTCGACTTCAAACGTCGAGTCAACTCGACCGTTTGCCAACTCGAGTTGGTGCAACGGTCGAGTTGGTTCGAGTCGAGTTTGCAAACGGTCGAGTTGACCGGATACCCTCTCAGCTTATATATAACTGAGGTGAATCATCCATAATTTGTTCTCGTGGATTTCCTTTGGTCTCAAAACCTTTTGAATATTGTATTTATAATATAAGGTCTATGTAACCCAGGGAAGAAGTCGTCACATAATAGTAACTTAGATCATATTAATCTTACTAGTCTTGTTCTTTATTTCCAATCTACATAATAGCCAAAATAGTTCACAGCATAATGAAATGAATCAAACGGCACAAGTTTCTTATTGTTCCCAGAAACTTATTCACAGTAAGAAACTTGTTATTTATCAGGGACTGATCCATGTTTAGGGGAAGGCTTTAGCTTGGGTGCCGAAGGCTGCTTTGCGCCACCCTTTCCTCTTCCGTCACCCAACGGAGCTCAAGGGTAAGGAGGGGGGGGGGGAGGGAGAGTAAACCTCCTAGGTACCCTATGGATATAAAAGTTCAGTAAACATAAAGAATATTAGACTGGCCTGCAGCCTGATGCAGCTATGTTCAAGACAATCTTAAACAGGTTATATATCCACTTATTTACAAATTCCCTCTATACAATAACACGTGAACAAGAAAAATCTTTATAATTAGTGTATACAATTTCCATAATCGAATATCGAATGTCCAATCAACTGAGCGGAAAAATTCCATGAACAAAATGTAACATAGAACGCTACCCACGGGTTTGTCTTTACCTTCGTCGATAACATGACAGCCCTTCAAAAACTGAGAACTGAGAGTCTTTAATACATTTAAAATTCGAAATGCATTAGGATGGAGCAATGTTTTTACTGGTGGATAACATTAGCGAAAGAGAGCGCCACAATTTATTTTACAGCCATTGCCCGAGGCCACAAATATTAAAATTGTTCCTACGAATACAGTATGTGCTTAAATGATGAACAATTATTGTTTTATTTACATCTAACAAAATAGAACAAAATAATTACTATGAGCTATGCTATTTATACAATGCGTATATTTATACAAGTTCTCTTCAGTCCTTTTAAGTACAAGGAAAAAAAGAGACAAGAAAATGAATCTTTCCCGCCACTTCGCAAATAGTGCCTTCTTTCATACGGTTACAACTTTAAGACAACACCCTATGATTCTTCCCACAATCGTGAATCGATTGACGAAGTAACATTAGTCTCCTCTCCCATGTGATTTTGAAATGTCATTAATTAGGCAGATTTAATCATGGGAGTTGATGTTGGTGACAATGCTGGGTGATGACGACGATAAAGGTAAAATGGTAATGACAGTAAATGACACCGGCACGACGACAATGACACCGGGCGATTAAAAGAATCTAATGTTTCAAACAGCTTGTCAATTATTTTAACCAACAACAGGAATATAGTTGTTGCAGTTCTAGCCAACTGCAGTTTCTTGAGGCAGTTCTTCAATAACATGTGACTCACGCTTGGAGCTCATCTCCATGGATTCATAAACGCCAGGTTTTCTCATTGGGGGCGCTCTTCTTTTCTTGTGGACATAGTACGTCGCAACAGCCGATCCAGTTAACAATACCAGACCCGCCAGCACGCCTCCAACCACGCCTCCTGCTATTTTACCCGTTTGCTGTTGTTCGTTGACGTGATTGGCGATCCCTCCGAGCGTGACTGGTGGAGATGTCCTCGGTACATCTCGACCGCTTCCTGGTTTGAGGCACCGGCACCTCGCTCGGGAAGGGCTGGCTGCCTGGGCGGTTGTGTGGGACGTCCCTGACCGTTCCTATCCAACGGGAGGCGTGTAAGCCGACCTTTTGGTATCGATGTCGGTGGCGCCACAGGAGGTCCATTCCCGCCTGGATTTCCCGTGCCTGGTCCCCCGGAGCCACTGGTTCCAGTTCCGGAGGTCCCGGTGCCTTGACCCTTCCCGGACCCACCCCTCGGAGCTGTTCTCTCTGACCCTCCTCCAAACGATCCCTCAGGATCAATGCTCCCCCATCCATCCACACTAGGTTCGAAAGTATCGGCGCCTTCACCATCTGTACGAGGACCACCAGTTTCAATCTCCGGACCGACTCCATTTGTTGCAGTACCCCCTGTCTCCTCAGTGTCTGGCCTTTCTGCACCTCCACTGTTTCCTGTGCCTCCACCCCTGCCAGCGGTTCCGGTTCTGTCAGTCCCTGCTGGACCTCCTGTACCGTCGCTGCTTCCAGTACCACCCGTTGTCCCACCGCTGCCACCAGTGCTCCCTGTGCCACCGGTGCCGCTGCCACCATTAGTTCCTGTTCCACCCGTCTTTGTCTTGCCTCCCATTTCCTCTGAGCTCCTGCTACTTTCGTCTCCTGTTTGCTGCCCACCAATGATAACTACCTTTTCCTTAGGTGCAGAGAGTTTGACTGGATCTGGTAGCAGGGGCTTATTTGGTCGACCTGGTAAACCTGGGTTGCCAGCTGGACCGGCCGGAGATGGTCCATTACCAGGTTGCACACCTGGTGATCCGGCGGCCGGTGCCACGTTGGTTCTATCCCCACCACCCGATGGTCCGTTCGGGTTTGTACGTGCCGGTACATTGGGGTTTGTTGGGCCGACTCTAGTTCCTCCACCCGGGTTCCCATTTGGGTTTGATGGCCCACCGGCAGAGGGAATTCCATTCCCCGTTCCTCCACCAGGATTCCCATTTGGGTTTGACGGGTAACCTGAAGAGGGATTTCCATTTCTTGTTCCTCCACCAGGATTCCCATTAGGGCTATTTGGGTTCCCATTTGGGTTGTTTGGGGTACCTGCAGAAGGATTGCCATTATTTCCTGTGCCGCCGCTAGGGTTCCCATTTGGGTTCGATGGGGTACCAGCAGAAGGGTTCCCGGTTGCTGTTCCTCCGCCTGGGTTTCCATTTGGATTGGTTGGATTCCCGTTTGGGTTGGATGGCTTGCCGGCAGAAGGACCTCCATTTCCTGTTCCCTCTCCTGGGTTCCCATTCGGGTTGATTGGGTTTCCATTTGGGTTTAATGGGCTACTGGCAGATGGGTTCCCATTTCCTGTTCCTCCACCTGGGTTTGCAATTGGATCGGTCGGGTTCCCATTTGGCTGGGTTGGGCTATTTGCAGAAGGTTTTCCATTTCCTGTTGCGACACCCGGGTTACTATTCGGGTTGACTGGGTTCCCATTTGGGTTCGCTGGCCTACTGGCAGAGGGATTCCTATTTCCTGTACCTCCAGTATCTGGGGTTCCTTTACCAGGATAACTGACGTCAGTTCCTATCGTCCAACCCTTCGTCCTTCCATCATTCGTTCCTCTTGTATCGGGGTCACCGGGCGATGACTTACTCGTGACACGTGACCCCGGCCCGCCCCCAACGCCAACGCCAGGAGAATTTGTTACGGCGCCCGGCCAAACGAACACTTGTTTGTCCGATTCAATCGGTATATGAAAAGGAAGACCAAACCTCGGCGGCCTTGTTGGCCGTTGTGTCCCTTTCACTTCGCTGTCGCTTCCGCTTATAGAAACTGTAATGTCAAAAAGAGTGAATAAATTTACCAAAAATAATCATGCAGGGACAGATTCATTTTGAACAAGAACCCCAAAATATTCTCATATTATTATATTTGTAAAATTCTGCACCGAAAGAGACACACATAGGGCCTAATGCCTCTGTTACATGTGATTTTTTCAGGCCCCAATCATTTGTTAGAATTAAAATAAAAACAGTTGTGACCTTCTATAGTGAAGTATTGAGTTAGGCAGATAGGGCACACCCCTCGAATTCAATGTAATCTGAATTTCTGGAAGGAAAATCGTTTCTCCTGTTGATACACTCGCAGAATGTTAAACGTCACCATTACGATGCTAGCACAAAGTTCCTATTCGCCTTTTAAGATTATGTTAAACCTTGAGCAACTTAAAAGGTTTGTGACTACTTCAAAAGTTCACATCGATGCCTCAATAATTCAAGAAGCAAACTTCTTCACCTTACCAGATTATAGCCTTCAAATTATGTTTAACACAAGGGATCGGTCTTTATAAATTTGGGACGATAGCCCCCAAACAACAACGATCTACTTATTACTTACCTGCAGTTAAACCAAGTAGCAACAGCAACTGAAAAGCCCATCCAGACGCCATCTTGGCAGTGACTCGTCTAGCCTTTCCCTCTCATGTATAAAAAAAGAATCCCGGCAAAGTCTGCTACACCTTACAACAGCGATTGCTAAAAAAAAATCACCCCAATTTGTGTCACTAGCGCTAGAAAGAGTGCAAAAGCTGGAAAGGCTTTGCCCCGTTTCCGTTTAGTGTTTGTCTAGGATGGGAGAGCGTGTGTGGAGTCTTGATCATGCGCCGTGATTCACTGAGATCCCCCCCCCCCCCAGCCCGGGGTCAAGGAATGACGCGCCTCGCTGTCCCTGTGTCCCCACCAACAAGACGGCGTTCGCATGTTTGACCTCAAACCGGTTTTGAGTTGGTTGTTATACAAGAATCGGATAGGACTTGTAAATTAACAACCATTTTATCTGACAATTCCACAAAGACCAGGGGCCACAAAGTGCACCTAGGCGGTTGTCTATATCTACTGAAATGGCGCAGAGTAAGGAACTTACATTTATCATGACGTGATCCACACACTAATATTTTGTGCAACTAATGGCATTTTTTTTGGGGAGGTTTTTTCCGGTACGAAACAGAGCACATGCCATATTTCTTAACATTTTGAAAAGTTAACAGAGCACTCAAGTTCATTAAAGGATTTGTTGACATAATGATGAATAGACGGATAAACTATTCAATTCAACGGATAGATTCCCCGGAAAGGGTGAGCATTTATTGATTGACATTGTAGTGTATGTGCAAAGCGGTTGTTCTCAAGATATATAGTCGTTAATGATTGATCACACTTTTGAACGTTCATGACGTCAACGAAACGAATGAGCAACCCAAATGTCCCAAGACTTCAAATTTGATTAAATATGGGTTCCTTTAGCGGTGACACTTGACCCGCTGAATAAATTTGCAAGAGGCAGACATGCACAGCAGGCGCGGTTCTACGGGGGGGGGGGGGGGGGGGGGCTTGCGAGCGGTCTCCCCCTAAAGAAATAGTCGTGACAAGGGTGCATTTGTAGTTAATATAGTGTGAATGATTTTAGGATTTTATTGGCGCCCCCCACCTATTGATTTTCGGAGGCCTAAGTGTCTGGAGAAAATAACCGGTCTACATTTCAGCACGCCTCCCTGACAAAAATTCTGGATCCACCCTGCTAGCCCCCCCCCCCCAAAAAAAATTATTGGTTCTAGAACCGCGCCTGATGCAAAGAAAATACAGAACAAAACATGGACCTAAATCAAAGACACTGGTTTCTGATTCAGTTTAGTATAAATTCCCAAAGAGATGATTAATTACAAAGTATACTCTTGTAACACATGATGTTTAAATCTTTATAGATTAAAGTGTATTAATTGTACGAAGGGGCATGCCACTTATGGGCGTGTCTCTTCTCTCGATTAGCTTATGAACACGTCCATAACGATCTGTTCCTAAAACTGCCCGGACATGTAGACCAATCTCGGCACGCTGTCCTTTCTATCACGAAGGCCCCTGTAAATGGCGAAAACAAGCTACAATAGCATACACAATGCTTTCTCCATTGAAGGGGGCCTTGTGTACAGTCATCACGTGCCCAGATTCGACTATAGGCCGTTGGATACACCGCTGGATTTGAAATAAAATTAATACTGAATCAGTTTTTTTTTTAACTCTTGCTCTATGCTTGCGTAAAACGTAATTAGGCCTTGTAATGATCTCACACAAGAAACATGGTCTGCGCAAAAAATAGACTTCATCCCAGGTGTCCCATTTCCCTCGGAAATTTCCTTGCCTTTAGTCATATATAAAAACGGACACAGGGTCTATATATATCCGCGTAGAGGTCATCTCATAAGTGAGAATGGATACCTTGGACTACAAACGACATGGTTCAACCAACGTCACGTGAAAGGCCAGGAAATTGGATAATTCCTGGAACGTCTTGATTTAGAAACCGCCCAGTCACCGATTTCTTGAGGGGAAATTTGCAGATGCGGCGATTTTGAAGGGCTTGTATTTTCTAACATTTGTTGACCTTTTATAACCTTTCTCGGAACTTTATTAATGAATTTGCAGACACGTGGGCGATGATACCATCACTATAATGTAGCACCAAAAGTTCAACGCTATTGCATTGCGTAGCAATTGCTAGTGACGTCATAATGTGTAAGCCCTTTCCCTTCTCACTTACGACTTATCTCGTCCACTGAAACAAAGTTTCGCAATTCTTTTTATATGAGTGAAGTCAAGCATCTTCAACAGTCACACTCCCAGCTCAAATCCAACATTCTTATGATGATGAATGGTGCATAATATTCAAAACGTCGAGTAAACACCTCGGTGTTTTTTACCTTCGAAAATCTCAAACATGATTCACATTGCGTGAAATCAAACACCTATAAAGGCCTTAAGAGTGAATATCTAAAGCACAACAAATATACGACATTTTCTTTAAATCGCAAGCAACACCTCAAAACAAAAACACCAAACAAACAAACAATTACCCCAAAAAAACCCGTCTTCATTTTCTAGCTGTATCAATGTTTGATGGCAATCGATCAACACTAGATTAGTGTTAATACCACTTAATGGTTAGCCGGATTTAAATACGACTTTGCACTGTCATTCCAATGTTATGAGCTTGTCACTGTTGGCAAGGTACGGTATTACATTCCCCAGTGTGATCCTCAAATTTATGTCAACACTTCAAGAACAGTTTTGAATATCCTCAGAAATCATGATCTTCCAAAATTTCAAGAAAGATACACACACAGAATGAATAATAAAAAAAAATAGGTAAATAAAGTTTTGGACAAAAAATACACAGTCTGTTTTATTAAACATTGACGAACGGAATTTACAGAATTATAATGTAGTTTGAAAAGAACCTCTTATAAAGGTAAATAGTTACATATATTTACGCAAGTTACGTAAACACGTTTGAGGTTTTTATTTTTCCAATGATAAACCTTACAGAGTTGTAGTGAAAGATGTCATCCAATGTGTAAAGATTACCGACTTGAGTTGTAGCATGTTATTCCAAAAGAACAAACGCGTAAAGCTTCTGCGGACTTTTCAGCAATGGATACTGAAAGCCAACTTTATATATCGTCGGCCTACGAATCGAGACGTTAACAGGTAAGTAATTAACTCTAGGCTATAATTTATTCACCACTTTGTAGATTGCAAAAGTAAATTGTCAGTGACGATCATTGTATTTGTCCGTAGTGCTGCAGTGTGGAATATTTTTCTTTTTTTGTTTTCTCAGGAGAACTGGAATAGATTGAACCAACAGTAATAAGTGAGGAGTCTCGAGAGGAGATCTTTGAAACAGACGTCCCTTAAGTTTTATCAAAGAGAATTTAAATATTTAATTAAAAGGCAGTTCGGTTACAAGAATACAGGGCAAACAAAATAATGAATAAAGATTGAATGAAACTTTATATAATTGAAAGATAAACTTTAGTCTTTCTATATAAAAACGAAATTATGTTTACCAAGGATTCAGTAAAATTTCACATAAGTATTTTTTACCTAGATATTAGGTGACTTAATTAACAGGTTTCCAACTATTCTTACCAAGATATTGAGGTGAAGTTATTTACCGATTTTCAAAGTAAAATTTCACCAAACGTTTGTGAAAAACCATACCCAACACCTGTTCGGTACAATTTTACCTAACTATCAAGAGGTTCAGATAGCACATAGCAAATATTTCACACTGTACATAACCCGTGTAATCTTTTCTGTGTGTGGAGACTTCTTTAATTTAAACCCCAGACCAAGTAACTTCACGGTAATTTTAACTGCCCAGAACATGACGAAAAGCCAGCTATTCTCGAACACAATACTCCTAATCTGAGTCTGTAATCCCTTCATTCCTAACAAGATTAAGTCCTAATGACATTTTCTTAATCAAATTGTTTAATGTCACAATTTACTCCTCAACTGTCGGAGAACATTCCAATGCCTCAT